TACCCGCGGCGGCGCGTCCTCTCCTCGCTGCCTCCTCTCTATCGCTTAGTTATTCTTTAATTATTGTTATTTCGTTTTTAACGTTCCTCAGCGCGGACGTGGCCGGAGCGGCGCAGGCGGCGTGCGGGGCTCGGGCTTTTCTCGCCGCACGTAGCGCCGGGGATCCCACCCGGGGACGCGGAAGCGCCTGGTGTGAAGGACCCGGGAGCGCCGTTACCTTGACCAGGCTCCTTGCGCGCCCCTCGCGGGTGCCTCCATCGTTTTCCAGGACGAAGAGAAATGAGAGCGGCTGCGGTGCTCTCGGCGTGGTGCTGGCCGTGCTTTTAGATGCAGATGCTCCTCAGGGGAAGCTTTGGACCCGTAACCCTGGGAAAAGAGGCTTACGTTTGATGCGCTGCATTGGTTACACGGGCACAGCAGCAGCACTCCTGTGGGGAAAGAAATGGCCTCACCTGGAGCTGCCCCTTCTTTCTGCCTTAATACTCTTAGAGGTCACTTAATGAAGCAGGTGAGGAAATGCACGTGAGTTCCACCTCCTCAGCACATTTGTGCACCAGACATGTGCCAAGGTGTTCGTGTGCCAACATGAGCAGTAATCTCCAAGAATGGTTTATTTAGCATGAACTAGGAAGATAGCCAAGGAATTTAAATGGTCGCTGAGCCAGGGCTCTCTTCTTGAACTTTTTGATTTAAATGCTTACATTCCTCCTATTTATTTTTAATGGATTTATACTGGAGTAAAACTCTGCAACAGAAACAGCCATTTATTAATTCTGAAAGCTCCTTTAAGTCAATTCTGCCAAACTTCAGCAATCTGCAGATGCCAAATGAACAGGTACAGCTGCTTCATCAGGGAATCCACTCCTAAAAGAACAATTCAGGAACATTCCCTTCCCTTTTTGAAATTACTGTGAAGGGGCAATAATTAGATCTAAATGTATATTTTTTTTAACACAACGTATGTTTACAGCTTAAATAGAAGATACATACTTTGGGGTGGTTTTGAATATAAGAAGAGAAACAGCCCTGCAATCTGGACAGAGTAAATAATCAAGTCAGTAACAAAAAAAACCAAAACCCAAAACATAGAACTAGAAAGCCAAGGAAGTTTCAGGAGATAAGAGAATACTACTATAAGCAAGTATCTTTGGCAAATGCAATACCAATTTGGTAATTTTAAGGATAGGAAAATTACTAAACTACTTGCTTTACAATTTTAAGAACATAAGAAACTTTTAATATATAAAGTTTGAATAGGAAGTAAATAGATAAATTAGTAAAATAGATGTATTGAAATGGACTATGGCTTTTGGACGCAAAGGAGAAATATATTTACTAATGTGTTAAAATCTTCCAAGAATATAGAGATGATGATACTGTACATTTTGCTATTTCTTGTTTTTATTTTTAGATTTATATAGGTTTTTGTGAAAATTCTGGCATGAGTTTTTTTTTTCCTCCCCTCTTTTTGACCATATTCTTCAAAATAAGTTATCTTTGTCTGCTCCAAAACCAGATTGCTGCTCAGCTTTAGAGTCATCCCAGGAAAAAAACGTTCACTCAAACACGTCACCTCGTGTTTAATACTGGGTAGAGTATGTATTTGTATATATAAACCATTCACTTATGACATAAAAAGAAAGCCACACAAATACTTATCAAATGAAAAAAAAATGCTTATTAGTTATTAGCTGCCACAAAGGAATTTACGATCTTGGCCTTTCTTTCTTGCCTTTGTATAAGGCTAATAGAGAAACATTGGCTACTTTGACAACCTTGAAGCGAACTCCAGGGATATCGCCCACAGCGTGACCCTTGCGACCAAAACCAGCCACCAGAACTTCATCATTTTCCTAGAATTAAGCAGTAATCAGGTTATATATATATATATTTATATATATATATATAAAAAAGCCATATTTAATTCAAGCTCAAGTTTAGGGCTAAATTCAAAAGCTGCTTTTGTAAGTTTACATGCCCATGTATAATGTAGCGTAACCAACCAAGGCATTTGCTGAAGAAGTCTCAAGCTTGAGAATTCCAGCTCAGTAATTTCACAGTCCACCTTGCTAAGCAGGAAAGCAGCTTTCATTGGAGTACAACTCCTCCCTCTCCCGGAATGCATAGCGCCCAAAACGTAACTACTGAGCATGCTTACACTGGAGCAGTTAAGAGTGCTGATTTTAGATGCAAGCTGCTCACCTCAATGAAGTTCAGGCAACCATCATTGGGAACAAAAGCTGTTATTTTTTTGCCATTCTTGATCAGCTGGACTCTGACACACTTCCGGATGGCAGAATTGGGCTGCTTAGCTTCCACACCACTGAAATTAAAAATGAATTGCTTTAAAATCATTAATATACTAATTCACAGATCAGTAAGAAACTTGGAGAGGTTCATTTGACATAGCAGTAAAACAGAAGCGCCACTCTCTTTAATGCTGAATATCAGAATGGTTCCTAGCCTGCTTTTGCCCTCTACCCACTGAAATTCTCCCAAACAACTCTCCAAATTCTCCCAAACAACTCCTGGCTATAGCTTGGTAGTCAAAAATCTCAGGCTATTTTCCAAGGGCCTGCAGTAGGGGCCCCTTGGCAGGGAGGGTTCCCTGCCAGCAGGTCTTGGTGCCATGAGTCTCCCCAGGC